CCGGGTTATTTTAGGGTTGTAACTCGGATTTTAGGTTGTTTGTCTTGTTGTCAAGCCCTTTACTCAATAAAATACAGTTTGTCCTTTTGTGTCATTCTGTTCTTTCTTCTTTTCTCGCTAGTTCTAATAACATGACATGCATGCGAAAATTTTGGCCAGATCTTAGAAACTGATTTAATCTAGAATTGGATAATTGAAAAAAAAACACTTTTGAGGAGGAATAAAGAGTTGAAATACTTGGGAATTAAGGTCGAGTGAAATTCACCTTCAAATCATTGTGAAGATTGGGCTTGAAGATGTTTAATCAATTGATTTGTTGGAAAGTTTGGCATTAAGGGATGGAAAGTGTCTTGTGATCACGACACACCAAGAAGACAGACATGTTCGTCAATGCTGTGATCGCAAAAAGATACTATGTTTGGCGTTCTCGAGGTTGGGAGGCCCTTTTTCTGCTACCCAAACACTTTATACCCTTTTGTCACCCCTTTGAGCCTGTGTTATTTTCTTTGACCACCCTCTTTTGGAATCAAGTTTAGAGTCAAGAGTAAAAAAAAGGGAAAAAGAAAAAGAAAAAAAAAGTTCATGTCCCAAGAGTACAAACCGGGGCAATTTTCAAGTGAAAAAAAAGAAGAAGAAAAGGTCCATGCCCTCAAAAATAGAAGCTGGGGCAAATAAAAAAAAAAGAGAAAAAAAAAAGAAAAAAGAAAAAAAAGAAAAAAAAAAGAAAAAAGAGAAACAGAAAAAAGGTGAAAAAAAATTAGTTAGGTCAGATGTTTGAACTACGTTAGACCTGATTCCTTTAATAAAAAAAAAAAGGATACGTAGGCAGCCTCACGGTTCGGTCCAACCAAATAAGAATTCAAGAAAAAATTCCAAAAAAAAAATCCCTAGTATCTGAAACTGGGGCAAAAAAATTTTATTTCACTTTTGAAAGAGTCGATTCCAAGAGTTGTAAGCCTGTACCCCCTCATTTTGAGCCTACTTTGAGCCTTATGTCGTCCCTTCTTTCCAACCCTATCCAAAAATCATCCAAATAAAGACCTCCTGATATGCCTTCAAGAATGCCAAGAAAAGCAGGCAATGAGCAACGGTTGTTAAGCGACATAGAACACTGTCAGGTTGCTCGCAAAAAAAAGAAGGGGAAAGAAAAAGAAAAAGAAAAGAAAAAGAAAAAGAAAAGGAAAAGAAAAAGAAAAAATAAGAGAGTCTTACTAGTGAAAACCCTCACGGGCACTGTAAGGCGACGGTAAGTAGATAAAGTAAATGAGAGAGACTTGTTAAGTGAAAACCCCTCGGGCACCACTAGTCGAATGTGAGAGAAAAAGAAAAAGAAAAAATGAGAGAGTCTTACTAGTGAAAACCCTCACGGGCACTGTAAGGCGACGGTAAGTAGAGAAAGTAAATGAGAGTGACTTGTTAAGTGAAAACCCCTCGGGCACCACTAGTCGAATGTGAGTTGTGAAGCTGATGCAAAGAATCGTCACGAACAAGCCCGACTTCAAAGTCATAAGAATGGTAAAAGGGAAGATTTGGTCAGTTTGATAGATCGGCTGTTAAGTCCAAAATGCATGTCATGATCGTTAAGGCTAGTTATTGGGGAAAAAAAAGAAAAAAGAAAGAGAAAAAAAATTCTTCCTTCTGTCCTTCCGACAAGGGCATTTCTTGTTAATACTTGTTTCTTTGCATCATTCTGTCCTTCACTCTGAGTCAGTCCTTGTCAAAACAAGCAAGAAAATATTTCAAAATCTGTTACCAGATTTTCAGTTGCATAAAGTAAATTTGGCCAGCACTCAGTTGTTACTGTCAATATACCTTGAGGATTCATGCAAAGGCTTCCCCGAAAAGGCTCTTGTCAGCCTATTTGGTGCAAGAAAGATAACTGGTGAGTCTCTCTGACGGACAGATTGCTCAAAAAGCAAGAATTCATTCAAGATATCGGAAAAGGCCACCTAAGTAATGATCTCCAGTTGGGATAAGGTTGATTGTGCTGCAAATACAAACGGTACTGGGTGCGAAACAATCAGGGTTGACGTAGAGCAAAAGTTTCCTGAGACTGACTCACGCTGATTGAGCAGAAGCCAAGCTGCCCAAGACTCAAGGCCACAAACCGACCACCATTTTCAAAACTGACAAATTTCTCTTTGTATGAAACAGGAACAACGCAGTGCAAGGAAAGTGGTTCAAAAAAAAAGAAGAAAAGAGAAAAAAAACAAAAAAAAAAAGAGAAAAAGAAAAGAAAAAGAAGAGCCAGCAAAGGGAAGTTTCTCAAATCTTTGCCTTTATTTGTCTGCATGTGCATAAAATTTTGCCATTGCTGTTCACATTTTCCTCCTAGGATAAAAGTCCTAGTCTGATGGATTTTATCTCAATCAAAATCCTAGTTTGATGAATTTTCTCCTAGGATAAACGTCTTAGTCTGATGAATCTTTTTCCTAAGATAAAAATCCTAGTCTAATGAATTTTCTCCTAGGATCAAAATCTTAGTCCGATAAACTTTCTCCTAGGATCAAAATCTTAGTCTAATGAATCTTTCTCCTAAGATACCAAAAAAAGAGACCTAGTCTGATGCACTTTCTCCTAGAATAAAAATCTTAGTCTGATGAATTTTCTTCTAAGATAGAAGGCCTAGTCTGATGAATTTTCTCCTAGGATCAAAATCTTAGTCTGATGAATCTTTCTCCTAAGATAGAAAACCTAGTCTGATAAATTTTCTCCTAGGATCAAAATCTTAGTCTGATGAATCTTTCTCCTAAGATAGAGAACCTAGTCTGATGAATTTTCTCCTAGGATCAAAGTCTTAGTCTGATGAATCTTTCTCCTAAGATAGAAAACCTAGTCTGATGAATTTTCTCCTAGGATAAACGTGTTAGTCGGATGAATCTTTCTCCTAAGATGCCAAAAAAAAAGAGAGTGAAAAGAAAACCTAGTCTGATGAATTTTCTCCTAGGATCAAAATCTTAGTCTGATGATTCTTTCTCCTATGATAGAAAACCTAGTCCGATGAATTTTCTCCTAGGATAATAATTTAGAAAAAAAAGGGGAAGTTAGAATTTGAAAAAAAAAAAGAAGAAGGGAAGTCTGGATTTGAAAAAAAGAGGGTCAACTTTTAGTTTTCTGGAAATCAGGGGGCCCGCCTGGAGAATAGGGTCAGTCTTAACTTCAGTCAAGCTTAGTTTATAGTTTTCCGCAAGCTCAATCACTTTTAGGAGATGCACATCCTAGTCTAGTCTTTAGTTTACTCTCATCATTGCATCAATAGTATAAGTGGTTTACAATATTGCTAACAACTCACAAATCTTCCTAGTGCAAACTGGGGCAGAAAATTTTCTTTTGTTTTGTCTATTTTGTAGTAAAATCAGGCGCCCACCTGGAGAACAAGGGAAAACGGCTCAAGTTTCAAGGGAAAATAGTTTTGAAGGAAGACAACTCAAGTTTCAAGGGAAAACAGTTTTGAAGGAAGACAACTCAAGTTTTAAGGGAAAGAAGTTTCGAAGGAAGACAACTCAAGTTTCAAGGGAAAGTAGTTTCGAAGGAAGACAACTCAAGCTTCAAAGGAAAGCAGTTTCGAAGGAAGACAGTTCAAGTTTCAAGGGAAAATGGTTCAAGATGCAAGGGAAAACAATGTCAAGTAACAAGAGAAGACGGTTCAAGTTCAGCAATCAGGCGCCCACCTGGAAAAAAGGGGATTCAATTCAGAATGCAATTCAGGTCAGCAATAAAAGAAGCTCGTGTCAAGAATACGAGTCAGCGGTCCGAGATGATCAACAGAAGTTAGTCACAATCCAGAATAAAAAGAAAAATAAAAAGAAAGGCAAGAAGTGAATCCAGAAGTTAATGAAAGATGTGAGTTGCTCAAGACAAGGTTGAGGTTACAAGCTCTCCATGTCCCGTTTTGGTTTGAAAAGCTGAAGAAGATTGAACCAACACTTGTGGCTAACAAGCATCAAGAGTCAGATCAGGGTCCGCATGAAGCACCAACCAAGACTCAAGATCAAGCTTCAGAAGATTCATAGATAGGAATCTTGTAACTAGTAGCTGATAGGCTTAGTTAGTCTTTTTCATTTTTGATTTTGATGTAATAATGGGACCGCGGACTGGAACCTCAGCGGAACGGCACCTCGACTGGCTCTCCACCTCGGTACTCCATCACCTCATTCACTTCTCAACTACACGTGGCCTGATTCCTTTATAGCCAAAGATATGTAGGCAGCTCAAATACCAGGGCTCGGTCACATTCTCCATTCTTTTAGTTTTAGTCTCCCTAAATAAGGGTCGGGTCAAAAAACCTGTCTAGTCGTTCTTTGTCTGAAAACTCTTCGCGTTTCCAGTCAAAGAGGGGCAGCCATAGGGTCAGGTTGTGCCTTATCAAAGGAATCAAGGGTAATATCAGCAGAATCAACAACTAGCTTATCAACAACCTCAACAGCAACAGATAGTGCGACAAGATGATAAGTTATATGAAATTAAAGGAATGCTGCAACATCTCATTGTGTCCAGTGGGAAAATGGAAGAAAAGGTCCACCAGATGTAAGAAAAGGTAGTATCACCGACTCAGCTATCAAGGGCATTGAGATTCAACTAGGGCAAATATCCATGGCCCTTAACAATCGTCCTCAAGGGACATTACCTGCGGACACACATGTTAACCCGAAAGAGCAGAGCCCGAAGCAGCTGATGGTTGTGAGTCTGAGAAATGGTAGATCTCTTGATCTAGAGCAAGAAATTGCTCGCAAAAATTGACTAACCGAGATACTCGTGCAAGTACCAATTGAAGTAGATGAGTCAACCAAGCTAACAGAAGTAAGAATCCAGCCAGCCTAGGAGGAAATAAACAAGGAAAAAGAGGTTTCAAAGGAGGCTGAGGAAGTTCAAGAGAAGGCATTAGAAAAAGTGCCCGAGCAGGATCGAACTCAAGTCAAAGGAAAGAAGAGACCGCCAGCACCCTTCCCATAGAGGTTAGCCAAATATCAGAAGGATGAGCAGTATACAAAATTCTAGAGATGTTGAAGCAGATCCAAGTGAACATTCCACTGATTGACACCTTGAGGGAGATGCCTGGGCATGCAAAAATGATGAAGGACTTGATGTCTCGCAAGTTCGACTTTAAAGAATTGGCAACTGTTACACTAACTCAGACATGTAGTGTTGTCATGACGAGACCCATAGTTGAGAAGCTATCCAACCCAAGGAGTTTCACAATTCCATGCACAATAGGCAGCTATGTTTTTGCTAAAGCATTGTGTGATTTGGGGGCGAGCATAAACTTGATGCCCTTGTCTATCTATAAAAATTTAGGCATTGGAAGAGCAAGACCCACATCCATGTTACTACAGCTAGCCGACCGAATGGTGAAGAGGTCATCAGGTATACTTAATGATGTACTTGTGCAGGTTGGAAAGTTTGTGTTTCCGGCAGACTTTGTCATTCTGGACTGCCAGGTTGACGAGGAGATTCCCATAATTTTGGGAAGGCCGTTCTTAGCCACTGAGAGAGATCTGATTGATTTTAAACAAGGGAGCTAAGGATGAGACTGAACGATGAAGAGATAACGTTCAATGTGAAAAGGTCTATGCAGCGACCCAGTGAGTTTGCTAACTTCTCCGTGATTTGTGGATATGATTCTGGAGGAGGAAGATAAGGCACTGAATGCAAAAGACCCCATAGCAGCTTGCCTGATGAACCTAGAAAATGTAGATGGTGAGAACTTGGTGGAGTGGATATTGGACCTTGAAGGCCAAGGGTATTGGAAAAGAGAGCTCGAATTCGAGCCTTTACACTTAGAAGAAAGAAAGACCCCTCTAGCTAAGCCATTAATCGAAGAGTCACCACAGTTGGAGCTAAAACCCTTGCCGTCCCACCTCAGGTATTCTTTCTTGGAACATAGTTCGACATCGCGTATTATTATCTCATATGGATTGTTCGATGTGTAGGTAGAACATCTTTTGCTGGTTCTAAAGGTGTGCAAGACTGCAATTGGGTGGACCATTATAGACATAAAGGGTATCAACCCAACGTTTTGTATGCATAAAATTCTACTGGAAGATGGACACAAACCTTTCAGAGAATATCAAAGAAGGCTGAACACCAACATGAAAGAAGTGGTGAAGAAAGAAGTGATCAAGTGGTTAGATGCGGAAATCATCTTCCCCATCTCTGACAGCAACTAGGTCAACCCAGCTCAGTGTGTGCCAAAGAAGGGTGGAATGACTTTAGTGCAAAATGAGAACAATGAGTTGATCTCAACAAGAACAGTCACAGGACGGCGAATATGTATGGATTACAAAATATTTAACAATTCCACCCGAAAAGACCACTTTCCATTGTCATTCATTGATCAGATGCTAGATAGATTGGCGGGGAGGTCCCACTTTTGCTTCCTGGATGGATACTCAGGATATAACCAGATATCTATTTCCCCAGAGGATAGAGAGAAAACACTATTCACCTGTCCGTATGGCATCTATGCCTTTCGGAGAATGCCGTATGTCCTATGCAATGCACCCGCCACATTCCAAAGGTGCACGATGGCCATCTTCACAGATATGGTAGAGGAAATAATGAAGGTTTTCATGGATGACTTCTCAGTGGTGGAGAACTCATTTGATGATTGCCTTTTGAACTTGAAAAGAGTGTTGAAGAGGTGTATGGAGACTAGTTTGTTACTTAACTAGGAAAAGTGCCATTTCATGGTACAGGAAGGTATAGTATTGGGACATCTAGTGTCAAGTAAGGGAATTGAAGTGGACCGTGCTAAGGTTGATATAATTAAGAAGTTACCTCCACCCATTTCTGTCAAGGCCATAAGAAATTTCCTTGGTCACGCCGGCTTCTACAGGCGGTTTATAAAAGATTTTTCCAAAATTGCCAACCCGTTGTGTAAAATTTCTTGAAAAAGATCACCCCTTTGTGTTTTCTGATGATTGCAGGGTAGCGTTTGAGGAGTTGAAGAAGAGACTGGTAACTGCGCCAATCATAGTGGCACCCAACTTGGGACAACCTTTTGAGTTGATGTGTGATGCAAGCGACTATGCTGTGGGAGCAGTTCTTAGGTACAGAAAAGATAAAGTCATGCATCCAATCTACTATGCAAGTAGAACCTTGAGTGGTGCCCAACTGAATTACACAGTGACAGAGAAAGAGATGCTAGCAGTAGTGTTCGTATTTGACAAATTCAGGTCATATCTGATAGGCTCGAAGGTAATTGTTTATACTGACCATGCTGCTCTTAGGTGCCTAATTGAGAAGAAGGAGTCAAATCCACGCTTGATTTGATGGGTGCTACTGGTTCAAGAGTTCGACTTGGAGATCCATGACCGAAAGGGAACGGAAAACCAAGTTGTTAAACATTTTTCCAGGCTTGAAGGAGCTGAAAAGAGGGTTGAGGTGGAATAGATTGTGGAGACTTTCCTAGGTGAACAACTTTTAGCCACGAGCCTTGAGGTAGCGCCATGGTATGCAGATATTGCAAACTACCTGGCGAGCGGTATTGTTCCCTATGACTTGTCCTCTGTGCAGAAGAAAAAGTTCTTTCCTGATTGTCGCATGTATTTCTGGGATGAACCATATTTGTTTAGGATTTGTGTTTATAACATGATCCGTAGATGTATTCCCGAGATAGGCCAAGCTTCTGTTCTGTAGGCATGTCATGCTTCACCGTATGGAGGCCATTTATGTGCTTGAGTCGGGCTTTTATTAGCCGACGTTGTTTAAAGATGCACACTTTTGGCTGAAAAGCTGTGATGAGTGCCAACAGACGGGGAATATTTCCTGTCGGTATGAGATGCCCATGAACCAAATTAAAGAGGTGGAAGTATTTGATGTATGGGGAATCGATTTTATGGGACCATTTGTCAGCTCATATAGCAACAAGTACATACTAGTAGCTGTGGACTATGTCTCGAAATGGGTAGAAAACGTGCACTCCCCACAAACGATGAAAAGGGAGTTATTGGTTTTTGGAGAAAAAATATCTTCACCTGATTTGGTACTCCGAGAATAATCATCAATGATGGAGGCACCCACTTCTGCAACCAAGCCTTTGCAAAGTTGTTGGAAAAATATGGCGTTCGCCATAAGGTTGCCACTCCGTATCACCCACAAACAAGTGGGCACGTGGAGGTGTCGAACAAGGAAATCAAGAGTGTTTTGCCCAAAACTATAAATGCTACTCAGACTGATTGGGCGAGAAAATTGGATGATGCGCTATGGGCCTACTGCATTGCATTCAAAACTCTGATTGGTATGTCACCGTACAAATTGGTTTGGAAAGGCATGTCACTTACCGGTGGAGTTGGAGCATAGAGCCTTCTGGCGCTAAGGCAATTACTTCTGGACTTGGAGGTCGCTGGAACGAGTAGAGTCACAGAGCTGCATGAACTTGATGAGTACCCTTGCCATGCTTTTGAGAGTACAAGGCTATATAAGGAAAGAATAAAGATGATGCATGTCAAAAATATTCTTGAGCGAAATTTTAAACCTGGAGATGTGGTATTGTTATACATTCGAGGTTGAAGTTATTTTCGGGCAAGTTGAAGTCAAGATGGTCAGGACCATTCTGTGTGATAGAGATGCATCCCACTGGAGCCGTAGAAATTGCATCATAAGATGGCTCTCACAAGTTTAGAGTCAATGGGCAAAGGTTGAAACATTACTTGGGCATGGATGAGGAAAAAGTTGTATCGGTGACTCATTTGCAAGAGCCAAAAATGTTGAGTGAACCTTAAGTTCGATTTCCTGCATCATGTCGCGATGTTAAATCAGGCACTTTGTGGAAGGGAACCCATTGTAATATTGAATTCGTCATGCTGTGACGTTAATTAAGGCGCTCGTTGGGAGGCAACCCAATTCGTAGTTTATTTTATCTTAACTAGAATTTTCTCTTTGTTTTTAGGCACTAACATGTTTTAGTCAACTCTTGGTATTTGAACAGGTACTAGAGCACGTTGGGAGGTCATAGCGCTTGCAGTCATTCACAACACAGAATGAAAATCATATGAGTACGCTCCAGACCTCGATGTCTACATCGTGCCATAAAGCCTAAAGAACAACGGACCTAGCAGCAGACCTCACATCGCCAGGTATCCCCCTCGCTACACAGCTCGAACTGCATGGCATATAGCGCGCTGGACCTCGCTACAGATCTGGCGCCGCACACTCTGTAGCGTGCTTGATCTCGTGTTGAGCTCGATGCATGCCTCGTGATACAGTGCTGTCGCGAGGTCAGGTTAGTTGTGAATTTTTTTTTCCTTTTTAATCCCCACCAGTTTAAAACACTACACACACACACATAACTTAATTAAAACACCCTACTGCCCGCCCTAACCTCCCATCTCACAAAACACCCTACTCCTCACTCTCACAAACCACCCTTCTGACCGTCCCAATTTCCCCCTCCCCCTCACACACAAACTCCATTGAAGCCATTCATTTATCCATTCTTTCACTCACTAGCGACATCAATTGAAGAGAAATTTCCCCTCCTAAGAATCTAAGGTACGAGCATGCCTCCTAAGAAGGATCGCGATAAAGGAAAGGGCAAAGCCACTACTCCTTCCAAAGCCAAGGCTTCCTCTGCGCCTCCACCGAAAAAGAGGAAAGGAGGGGAGGCCACTTCAAGTCAGGGAGAGGGGTTGCAAGCAGTTGATCTATAGCAGCCTCACACCCTCAGCAGGTGGGACAACTGGAATTTAGACTTAAGAGAATACCCACCTCTGCCAAGGACTTGTACAAGATTTGTCTGCTAAGACATATACATTCTGAGTCGGCTATTCATGAGCTCCGTCTAAAAGCTAAGTATAAAGCAATTTGGAAGGGTATTCATGATCTTGGGTTGAGCACGTGTTTGGAAACACTAGGATATCAATGTAAACTTTGTCCATGAGTTTTATGCTGGGTATGATCCGAATGATCCTGAGCAGCTGGTGCCTATTCGGGGGAGGTTGATTGATTTTTCTGCATCCGCTATATGCAATTACTTGGGAGCTCCGAATATTCCCCAGGAACCCCTGGATAACTTTATTACCCGTCCAACATATCTGGCGCTGAGATACACTCTCTGTGTTGTCAATTCTGTGGCCGCTTGGGTTCGTTACAAGAAGACCCAACGTCATAGGAAATTTCTAAAGAAAAAGATGAAGTTGGAAGCTCAGCTGTGGTTGAAATTGATCAACACGCGACTACTACCATGCAACCATGAGACTCTTATTAGCCGTGAAAGGGTATGCCTGTTGTACTTCCTAATGACTGTTCAGAAAGTGAATGTGGACTAGTTTATACGCTACCAAATGGCCTAGGTGAGAACAAGCAAGAGAATTGATAGATTGTCCTTTGCTAACATGCTGACTCATTACCTGAGAAAAGAAGAGGTGGAGGAGCGAGATTTTGATGTAGTCATTCCTCCACCCCTCGACTAACGGACATCACCAACATCTGGGTTAAGGAGGAGACTGTTATGGCTTCAGTGACAGGTGCCTCGAGATAACAGCTTTATGGCCCATTTATATGGGATGATGGACTTGCAGCT